CTTCTGCTTCGGCATGGGCATCTTCTGCTTCATCGCAGGGACACTCTGTTGCTGCATCCTGCTTGTCAGTCAGTCAGTCAGTCGGTCGGTCACTCAGTGATTCACTCATTCACTCGCTTGCTCCCTCCCGCTCTCTCACTCCCTACCTGCTTCAGTAACATGTATTCAGGGATTGGTGGAAGCAACCGACTGCTCTTTCAGCGAGCTTGAACTTCGTGAGACGGCTTGAATATTTGCGCGTGATTCTTGCGGGCACTAATTTTGGGAGCTTCAACCTTTGGTTTTGCTGGCCTCGCCTGAACTGCCCTTTCTGCCAATGACATCGGATCTGAAGCTACACGCATTTTGGTGGCCTTGTGTCCTTGGCATGCTTTATCCCTGTGTTGTCCATCTACAGGCACAGGGATGATCAAAGGTCTGTAAAGCATGGGATGACCGGGAAACCATAGAAAATATTTGATACTTCAACCACATGGGAACAGTTACCCTTGATCAACCCCCACGTTGATGACTTCTTCCCTGGTTACATTTGTCCTGTTCTTGTCCAACCTGGCATTTTCAATTCCTCAATGCATGCTCCTGCACAGCTGTCTTGCAGGCTTTCCAAATTTCTGACGACCTGCAAGTGGTGAATCCCAACTTCGACTCCTTGCGATGGTCCTTACCAGTGGAACAAGCCCGGCACACCTCCAAGACGCTACACACCTTCATTTGGGCTTGTAACAGGGATCCGGATGCATTATACACCTGAACATTGCCTTCTAAATGGTAGTTTCCCTTTATGTTGGTGAAAAAGCCATGTTTCAAATGGGCAAAATGTATCTTTTCAGGAGCCCTGTGTAAATCAGGAAGTCAAATTCAAATTTGATGTCCACTGGGTATGCGTAAGAAAGCGCCTGACGCCCACAAGGCCGGGCGCTTGCTCTGCAACTGTTTCCTGTGGCCCTTGAAGAACGGCAATGTGTCGACTTGAACACAAAGACCTTTGTGCCGCCAAATGAGGAAACCCCGAAATGGGTGGTGTCCCTTTCGCATTCAAACTGAAACCACCAAACAAATTGTACCGACTCTAATAAACAACATCCCCTGTGTCAGTGGAGCATCAAGGGCCCTTTGTGGGGCCGACAGGAGCAACGTCCAAAACCCATCGACGGGTGGTTCTACTAAAATGGTTGCAAAGGTTTATAAGGGCCTTACTGCCTTACTATAACCTGTATGGAGTCAGGGAACTAAACATTGGCAGTGAGGGTGTTTGGCGCTGCTCAAATGAGGGCCCGAACCTACTTCCCTCCCCGTCCTCTAGCTCGAGTACACAGCACGTGTTGAGCGCATCACTCAGAAGTGCCTGGCATCGACATTAAGCAACACTTTCAATCTGCTTTTGTTAGTATAGGGCAGGGATTTGGGGATCCGCGGGGTTTGATTGCAAGAACAACTCTCTTCACTTAATTTTCAATTGGTCTCCTCGACTTACTTCCCCTCATCATTATCTGACACCCCTGTCGAAAAGGTCGTGTGATAATTGCTGAAATTTATGCATGTGCGTGCAATACTTGCCACACACTCACGTAGTACAGGCACACCAAAGACTTCAGGCTGCCCGCCAATCAACAACAAAATCTAACAAATGCAAACACGCACGCAAGGACCCAATGATCAAGCAAACCATGTGCCAACCACCAAAACTGCCAAGCATCTATAAACAACTAATGAAACCCAAACCATGGTGCACATGCACGAACAAATCACGTGCGAGTCAAGTAAGGTGAGGCTAGGTGAGTGAATGAAAGTGAATGAGTGCATGCCCGCACTATTGACTGAATGTACTGAATGAACCAGAATGAACCAAACCAACTAACGGCTAAACGGAAGCATGGCCGGACCTATAGATGCATACATGGAGAAAAGTACGCTGGTGCATCCGTCTACAACTGCACAAATAGATGAGTTCACATTCACGACTATGCAAACAATAAACACATACACGCACAACTGCCCACATGCACGAATGCGCGCCACAAACAATCAAGAAATTAGGTTCGGCCCCCGAAATTGGTCCGTCCAACAACCCATGTCGCGCGGCCAAGCGGCGTCCAGTCCGTATGAAGCGAGCCTGGAATTAGATCCCTTCGACCTCTCTGAGACCTTCCAGGTCCAACTCCAAACCCTTCCACATATCTTCCTCCCGGAAACCGGTCAAATTCCTCTCTCTAGAAACTTGGTCACCTTCCCCGAGAAAACGGTCAAATTCCCCTCTAGAAGCCAATCAAATCCCCGCTGACTGCGGCTCTTGTTCGATCTAGCACTTGAATCAAGCCCTTCGGGCCATAAGATGCACCCACCCTCTATCTTGGAAACCAGCTCGCGCAATTCGGCGCCGACTCACTCACTCAAACAAGCACAACACTTCAAGGCAAACCAAAACACAGCACCTCAGCCAAAAGCATTCTTGGCCGAGGCGGGCAACGTGAAGCGTTTACAATAGCAAGCAAGCATTCGACACTAAAGACAAGACATCAACACAGTTCAAATGCGATCAACTCTGATCGGTCACTCACAAGATCCCAGCGCACTCCAAGCCATTGTGCAATCCAATCTACCCAAGCCTGCACCTCCTTTCGTCTAGGCCGCTCATCTGCCTTAGCTCACAATGCTGAAGGAACAGCACGATCGCAAAAAGCGCATGGCTGCAGCGCAATATGCTGCACAAACCTTTCCTGGCAAAACGTGAATGCAGTTCTGCCGCTTTGTTGCCGAGATGTGCATCGCTGAATCCAGCAAATTGATATCAAAGCATGTGCAAAGAGCGAAGGTCACTCTGCTGGCTAAAGCAAATAAAGCGCGGAAGTCGCTCTAAGCAAAACAGCACATTTTGCGCAAACGACACATGAGGTTGCATCAGCAACGCCGTTGTTGGAGTTGGCTTTGGGGGGTTATCCAATTTCTTTCTTTTAACTCCTTATCGTTTTGCAGTGTTTTGTGCTTTCTGTACTTTCAACCTCGAAATCGCGACCTTTTCGCACAAGTGTAGTGTAGCACACGAAGTACACTTTGGAAGCTTCAGCTCGAAAACTGCAACTTTTCAGCACAAGCATGTTACGCAAAGTACATTGGAAGCTCCAGCGCGATAGTCGCATGTTTCCAGTACAAGTGTAGTACACAAAGTATGCTTTAGCAGCTCCATCTCGAAAATCACAATTTTTAAGTACAAGTGTAGTAAGCAAAGTACACTTTGGCAGCTCGAAAATCTAAACTTTGAGGTACAAGTGAAGTAGCGTTTTTGTTCAGCTACCAAGTCTGGCCTGTTTGCTACCCAACTTACTCCTTATCATTTTGCAGTGAGACGTGGCAGTTTGGGACACAGGAGACCTCCGAATACAATATCTAAACCAACGGGAATTGGTACAACGCATGCGAACCATCAGGATCTCGAACAATGATAACCCTAACACGCATTTCAGGTCCAGCTCATTGCCTCGCCTTGATGTCAAAGAGGTGCTGGCTGAGCTGGGGCAATGCCCAAAATCGTGTCGATGACAAACAATGAGCTGCTGTTACTTTCGTACATTGTGTTGGCCGGTACCTGAATTGCTGCAATAGGTAGAAGCGAGACACTGTGATAGACACATTGCTAGCAACCAGAAGGCCACCTTTGAACAACCTTTGCAGACACGCTGGTGGGGTCAGCCGCTGTACACTACAAGATGCATCGCCTTCACACCGCAAGTCTCAACAACGTGATGGGATATGCTGGGATGGGTGGGTGAGATCACTGGTATGATGTTGTAGTGAAACACCAGTGACTGAGCCAGCCCCAAGGTCATGTTAATGTCGTGTCACCGTCATGATTTGTTTGTCCAAGCAGTCGTCGTGTAGGACAAGCAAAAGAGCTAAAATCCATAACGTTGGAAAGATAACCAACATCCCCGAACCGTTTGAGATGTGTTGATGCTCTGCAAAGCTTTCCGGGGTGGTCCTCTCGAATTGCAACCGTTAAGAGAAACAGGCGAGCACTGCGACAAAGCCACTTCAAGTCGAGGCAACATTTCGCTATCACTAGAGACGCGTAAACCGTTACGAATGCCTTACTGTAGTCCTTCTTCCAAGTACGACGGAATATGGCCGCGTCTCAACTATGTCCACTTGAGCTACTCTTGACAGCTACCGATTTCCGATGGCTTACCCATAATCTGCAGCTGATATTCTTTTCTTGCAGGCCCAAGGTTGCACCCACCCCACCCCACCCCACCCCACCACCCCACCCCACCCCACCACCCCACCCCACCCCACCCCACCCCCACCCCGACCCCCACCCCTATTTGGCTTCCTCGCAAGCTGAGGATGTGGCTCCAACTAGTACCAGCCATTCGGTTCCCAACCTGAACCAAACTCACTCGGCTTGTCAAGCCGCTTGGATATGGATGGGTTCCCCAGCTAGGTGCTCTTACCCCTTTTTTTGGTTGGGAGGGTTCCCCTACTAAAATAGACTACAGAAAAAAAGGGTACCCTTATTCTAACCTCTCTACTGGAGGACCCAGCAGGTAGTCTCTGGGGCCATGCGCCCGGCTTTCCTCCTCCTGAGCGCGCGGATGGAGAAAACCCCGAGACATGGGTGTGAAGCTTAGTTAGGGGATGGGTGGATGGGTTGGATGTGGGTGTCATCATTAATGTGGGACTTGATGTCCAATATCTTACTAGTTGTTCTGGCTTGATGTCCAAGCACTCATAAATGTTGGGGCTGGGCTGAACATGAGTGGGCTAGGCATTTATGTGAGTTGTCCCATATCAATTACTATGTGTTCTTCATAGCCATGTCACAGCACGTCTGACATCTATTGTAATTCAGAAACTCATAGCCATGTCACGGCATGTCTGAAATCTGACAAGAAACTGCGTTACTGACAACGAAAGCTGGAAAAACCATCGCTCATTTTCGTGATTTGCCTTGTCTTCCGCCGGGCAGGGGGACCTTTTGCTGAACCTCGAATGTTTACCAATAGCGATAGCACTGCTTGGACAGCAAATATGGATTGCAGCACACCAAACTTTGCACGCAGCGTAGGGTACACGATTTCATAATCTTCCACCAACAAGACACTGCTCCTGGTTGGACAAGGACATCCATCGATAATAGCCAAAGAAGCTTCCAGATGCCAATGCAGCATGCAGGACCGCTGACTCCACGGAGGAAGGGCTGTAGCCTATGTAGCGTCTGTGGAGTCTGTGTCTCTTCTTGGCACAGCTCAAGACTGCTGGCAGCAACATCATGAGAGTCTCGGTAAAGATCATGACGCATGAGGAATGTGCCAAAACCAGCAGCCCTTTTGGGTGCTGGGAAGCAAACGGGGAAGCCAACTACGAAGGGGCGGTCTCATTCCCTGCGCTTCACACTGGAAGAAAGCAACCGCAGGCCAATTTTTCCTGCGAGAGCCCTCAGATCAAGCCTGCCTGATAATTACTCCGGGCAGCGCATGCGCCCGTTACTGCACCCAAATTCGGCAAGTCCAACAGAGATGTGAGGACCAACACGAACAGGAAGCACGCCTTCTCAGCAAGGGCTTCATAAACGGCCATGGGTCAAAACCCGTTACCCCCAGTGAACGTCCCAATCCCCGCTAAAATGGGTTCTAAAATGGGTGGTGCACCTATTCCAAAATGGGATCCCATTGGTTTTGAACCATGGCCAAATGTTGTGCAGCAACTTGGGCTGGCACCACACCCCATGCAGTTCTGGGCCCTTGCTGTGCCTCTTTGCCCTTCGACCGGGTCTCTGCCTTGCGAGCGGTATTCGACCGGGACTGGTCCGGCACATAGGTGCCCTTTTTGGGAAAATAGATGGCCATGGTATTTGATTGAACCACCAGGTAAACCTGGGCCCTCTATTTTTCAACCAAATGAACCAAAAAGGACACCTACTCGTCCGGCATTGTTGATTGCAACCTTTTTGTCCCAGTCGCCTTCTGCCCCAAGGAGCTTGTTTGACACATTGTTGCCCTGCTGGATGACCTTGACTGGCCCTGAAAAAGAAACACAGCTTCCGATTAGTTGTCGGGACACAAAGCGTCAACAGTCCGTGGTGATTCCATATAGCCAAATGTCATCACAAAACTCTTCGCTCTGGACTTATGACCTAAAGGTGCTCAAACATGAGGAAGAGTATATTTTTGGAACATTGCTTTGCTATCTCTTTTTTGCGTGAGGCATCACCAGGGTCTTGCTGCAGCCTCCTTTCTTCATAGAGCTTCTGTGCGGCAATCGATCAGCTCCCTTGTAGGGGTCAGAGTCCATATGAGTACCCCACGCTTCCGCTGGGAAATTTGCCCATGCCAAATCCACGAACAGGAGATATCTGGACCCGGACCCGACATAAACTCATGGTGCGGAAAAACAAACTTTCCGTATCGCGCCTGCTGCATTGAAATCACATTGAGCCGAATGGCGTATATATATATATATAATATACACTTGTCCGGAACCAAACTAGTTTGAAGGCCACATTTTCAGACGTCTTTGCAGGAGAACAAGGGCGAACACGGTGGTAAGACCACAAATATCGTGCCGCTCACAAAGGCATCTATCATGCCACTAGCAATATCCCTCATGAAACACTTTTCGGAAAGCTATACTATCATCAAGACACAGTGTAATGGGGGCCGGTTTGAACCTGGAAGGTCGAGAACAGGCCATTAACCCCAATATGTTTCAAACCTCATGCAGGCGCTACACCAACCGACAGTGCAAACCTGAAGAGTTCAGCAATGCAAGTCGGTATGCCTCACCTCAAAGTTCACAGTTTCGATCATTTGAAGCCTACGGGAAGCGAGGAAAAATGCTAGGTGCTCTGTGGTGCACGGAGGGCGATCAACACACTCTCCTTTGTTGTGAGTATGAATAGCGATTGCCAACACTCCTTTTCCTTCAGGATTTATCGGATTCGTGCCCTGGTAGCTGCATACCGACTCAAAGCGCAAACTTCGCTATGCTTCAAGACGGAGAGGTCTCAACGAAAAGAAGTCGGTTTCCTTTCAGTCCCCTTTTAAACCCCTCTGAACAGGGTACCGACTCAAAAAAACAAAACAAAGAAGTCAGCGACCGACGTGCTGTCGCTTTTTTTGGTCTGCCTCCAACTCCAGTAGACGCACCAGCTCCTCCGTCTCATTGAGGGCAGTGGCCACCTGTCCAAGGTCACCTGGACTTACCTTCCCACCCTTTTCACACGGAAGTTGACAAGGGGCCTGGAAGACCATTTTCCTTTTAAAGGGACCCCCCGTCAGGTTGCATGTTAATTGGTGGGAGGTTAAGTCTTCCAAAGTCTTGGGAGTTTCCATGTACTGGGTACCCGCCCTTCAAACAGAAGGCACCTGGAGGGTACATGGAAGATCAGAGTTTCGTCTTGGGACCGGGTCCCGGACGTCAGGTCCCATGAGGGAGTGAGAGTAAAAGTGGAACGTTTCAAGGCTTCCCCTGAGGTTGAAACAGGCGGCAGGTTCCGCCTGAAGACCACCCAAACATCACAATGCATTTCCATTGAGACTCAGAACTCAGCCCTTCAATCTACAGTATCTGCACGGGTGTGAAATGGCAAGCATTGCTTCGGTCCATACCTCTAGAAGACCGACATCCATGTATCACAATGTCAAGGTGTTAGTCGCACTGCATCAGCTGTGGCAGCTTGTGTATGTTCTCACTCTCAATCAATGTTGAGGTTGTGTCGATAAATGTATGTGCTTGTCCGTGCCCTTTGAAGCTTTGACCATCATCTCACTTAAGCACTGATCACTGATCGCATATTGGCCTCCGCTATGATGGCTTCATGCCAATGCGTTGATTTGTCTGGTAACGTCAAAGTGCGAGCCGGAAGTTGTTCCTTCTGCTTCCGCAGTAATCAGGCCGGTAGGTGCCACTTGACATGTGCATGTGTAGTTGAACTCAAATTCCCTTAGCCTTGCTGTTCAAGAAGTGAAGCACCATTTTGCAAATCCTATTGTCATTCCAGGTGATGGACCAACAAAAAGGTTGTGCAAGAGTACTGCAGAGTTTTGTGTCAAACTGCAAGGTTGAAGTCAACGTCATGATGCATATTGTCAGCATGTCTCAAATTAGGAATAGGACACAATTGCGCGCGGACTCTTGAAGAGCAAAAGAAGCAACAACGCACACACACACACACACTCACACCCACACGCACGCGAGCACACACGCACGCACGCACGCACGCACACATGTGTGCGCGGATGCCCGCCCGCGCGCACACACAAACGCAGACACAAACACCGACACGGACGCGGACACCAACACCCACACCAGAACAAGCGCAAACACAAGCACAGATACACACACACACATACACACATACACACGTACACACATACAACCATGCACACATACACACATACACACATACAAACATACACACATACACGTATGACATGCACACATACACTACTGTAGGCAGTGCATGCCGCATTTGGCTCATTCTAGCACAACGCAATGGCATTGACAACATTCAAATTCAGTGGCCATAGACCAGGTGCTGTTTTAGCCCCGCCCTTGTGAATGATTAGCCAGTGACTTCCAATTATATCGCAGAAGGTGGCGATCCCCACAATCCTGATCGGGGACGCACCGCGCCTCATCCAACTTTCCAGCAAGATCTGGCTGCTCTTCCTCCTTCGACACGCAACTACAACCCGCGTCGGGGCGTCCGATGTATCACGTGCAGAAGCCATATATCCGACCTGGTCAGTTTCATGGGTTTGTTCTGGCCAGGATCCAATGCAGGGCTTGCATTCTTGCATCACCTTGGGTGTTTCCCTTCGGCGTTGTTCTGACCTTGCGCTCCACACCTCTTAGCCAAAGGTGCCGGCAGACAAACAGGCTCCCATCAAAATGATGCCCAGGAAACTGGTGGATTGAACAATGCAGTTTGCGGGGGTGTTAGGTCTGTTGATATCCTTTGGGATATGACTTGCAGGGTGAGTGCTCAGCTTAGCTTTCACCTTCGCCACCTCCGGCGATCGGGCGATACTTGGCATGTCCCATGGAAAGGCATGACCGGGTTCAGGAGACCTGGGTTGGATGGCTCTGCACCATGTTCTTGGTTACACTTCTCCGAGGCGTGTCTTAAAATAGGGGAACTCCCCAACATGGATTTCCTATTGAAGGGTTTATGTTGACCTGGGACCCCATATATTAGGGGAGCGTTCCCCTAAAGTGATGATTCCCCGCTGCGCCCAGTTAGACACCTCCCTATCAACAAACTGGGGTTGATTAATATGGGGTCAACATTACGAACACGGTTGTGTGAATTCAAGCATGGTTTTCGAGCCTATGACTGCTCAACAAGCTCTGCATTGAGAGCCATTTTTACTTGTTTGTGTGTCAAAATCCACATGTCTGCGAGCCGATCTCGAGAACTCAAACATAGGTTCCGTTAACAAAGCCAAGCCCCTTCCAAAAAGAAACCCGCCGGGGGATTAAGCGAAGTTGCTTCTTCACAACCCAAAGCAACACAAAAGCATCACCCTTTCCGAGCCTCAGGGTACACTCAAAACACGAGGGCGCCAACATGAAATGTAAACCCAACTGTACGCCGGGCGGGACATTAAGCAAAACCAGACTGGCGAGCTGCTCTAGCGGGACACTGGCGGGATCCGCTGGCCAGTACTGGCGAGCCGCTCCGGCTCCCGGATACTTGGCAGGATCCACCGGCAAGGGATACTCAGCGGGATACTCGGCGGGATCCACTGGCGAGCTAGTCTGGGAAACTCAGCCGGACACTTGGCGGGATCCACTGGCGGGCTGCTCTGGTGGGATACTCGGCGGGATCCACTTGCGAGCTACTACTCGGCGGGTTCCACTGGCGAGCTACTCTGGGACACTCAGCGGAATACTTGGCGGGATCCACTGGCGAGCAGTTCCAGCGGGATACTCGGCTGGATCCACTGGCGGGCTGCTCTGGCGGGATACTGGGCGGGATCCACTGGCGAGCCGCTCTGGCGGGATACTCGGCGGGATCCACTGGCGAGCCGCTCTGGCGGGATACTCGGCGGGTTGCACTGGCGAGCCGCTCTGGCAGGATACTCGCGGGATGCACTGGCGAGCCGCTCTGGCGGGATACTCGGCGGGTTGCACTGGCGAGCCGCTCTGCAGATACTCGGCGGGATCCACTGGCGAGCTGCTCTGGCGGGATACTCGGCGGGTTGCACTGGCGAGCCGCTCTGGCGGGATACTCGCGGGATGCACTGGCGAGCCGCTCTGGCGGGATACTCGGCGGGTTGCACTGGCGAGCCGCTCTGGCGGGATACTCGCGGGATGCACTGGCGAGCCGCTCTGGCGGGATACTGGGTGGGGGTGTGGTGTAGAAGCATCGCAAACGCGGATTCCAACATAAAATCAAACAACCCCTTCCTGTCGGGTGGGAAAATAGCACCTTCCACTCAAAAGGCACCCTGTAAACAGAACACCCTCCCCAAAAAACCAGACACCCGAAGTAGGCATCGTATTTCCAATGCCGTGAGGCCTCCAAAGGCTCCTGCGAAAGCCCTGGCTCCGGCGATCCTCGCGGCGGCGGGCGGGTGTTGGACCCAGATGCAACCAGTGGATTTCCCGGGGGGAGATCGGGCGTGCGTTCTTGGGTTGACTGAGTCTAAAGGAAAGGAAGCAGGGCGCGGGGAAAAAAGGCATCCATGTTTTGGGGTTGGTTGAGATTAGAGGGGCACCCTTTCCTCCACAAAAGGAAAAAGCGAGTGTGACTGGGTAGCTGGGTGTGTTAGATCATGTTAGATCCCTGGTTGCGGTATACTAAGTAAACTCCTTCGAGTTACCGGCTTCAGGCGGACAAGGGAGCTTGCTTTTGCGGAAAGCCGAAACAGTCCAAAAGTGAGAAGGATAGCTTACAGATTCCCAAAATACGGTCGGACTGCCACAGCAGGATTTACATCGGCAATTCACAACGCAATGATTCAAATCCGCTGGTACGAGAACTGTCCAAATCGTTGAAATGCTTGTACGTGTTGAAGCCACTGGGTGTGATGATTCATTGTTTCGAAGAGTGTCTTTAAACATCGGTTAGCCTCACGTCGGTGTCCAATGCGAACTCATGGTTGCGGACTATCTCGGCTGGACACGCATCCTCTTTGGACGCCAGCACCCTTCTTTGCAATTGACCGGCTAACTTGGGTGCTTTTGTTGACAACACTCGGAGCAAAGTGTATCCGACTATTGAAAACAGGATGCCAGGCGTGTGTATGACAATGTGTCTGTGTCTGTGTACAGAAAAACAAAACCCATCATTGTACTGCTTTCAAACTAGCATGAGACAAGTAAGCTGGCCTACGGTATGCTCACGACTCACCACCCAGTTTTTGGGTTCTAATCACGCAGTCTGCACACAATGCCACAACACAGCATAGCAGGTCGTGGGCATGGTACCCGGTGACAAACATTCTTACAGCTTAGGTTGCTGTAAACTGCATGTCTCAAAATGAAGGGACGTCCGTGATGTATCAAATGGACAAGCAGAATCTGCCGGACAGACTGTTGGGGTGGGTAAGCTCTCCACTCCATACAAGGAGGCGAAACATGTGCATTAGTTTGTTTCTGTCACACAGCCGGTAGAATGAACCAGGGAGTCAATCGAGCAGACGCAAGGCTGAAGATTGAGATACCTAACCCACGGTTCCAGGGTCCCTGTTCCAGCTGCCAAGTGCGAGCAACAGCCATCCAGGCACCAGCCTTCGCTCTCGACGGCTGACTCTGCAGCCTACGTCCCAGGCAGGGGAAGGTTCCAGTTCCCTTCTTGATTTACCAAATTTATCCAAAAGACCACCCTTGAATCATGTCAAAGTTTGAACTTTTGATTCACTACAATGGTCTGCCCGAAAAGTTTAAAGCCCATAACTCAGGGAGTGAGTACTGTTTCTATTCGTCCACCAACTGAAGAATCGCAACGCCGATGTGCCCAGTTAAAGCCCGATCAGGATGGATTAGGTTGGTGGCGTGGCAAAAAGAAATCAGCAACCTCACCAGTTTACATCCCCCAAACGAACAGCATGGCTGACAGCCAGCAAATCCCAGGAAATACGCAACTTCCCTTGCTTGAGTTACTAGGATGTCCCAATGCTAAGAGTGAGCAGACACACACACACACAAAATGTCAACGGGGCCTGACAAGGGAAGAACAGCAATAGCGCGCCACCTCCACAAAGGTGAATGAAGTTGCGTGCTATAAACGCTGATTCGGGTTGTAGGCCGCGCACAATGCAGCACCACTCTACCGTAGCGCATATCAAATGCAAAGGCAAAAGTCAGCCTGTTCCTAAGTCACCCATCATATTCCATGCCATAGTAAAAACATCTCGGGGCCAAGGATAGGCATTCCCAAGACTTCCAAGAATGGATCCTGGGAGTTGCCACTTGCTTGCAAATATCATCCGAACTTCTAAACCGCAAAGGGCCCAAAGGCAACATCGGCCATCCCTCACGCAACTTGCCGTCCAAATCAGAAACGGCTTGATTCCCCTCGAACCCTGCAAAAAGGCGTTTTTAAGATTCGGAAGGCGTAGCTTCACCCCGCGGCCATAGACAGTCGAACATTCTTTGTGCTGGGTCGTGTATGTCCAACACCCGCAACTCAGCCTTCAACGTACCCTCCCTGACATGGCCCCCAAAAGCTGAAAGAATGATCATCGTCAAGCAGCATGATCCGCATAGTTCATCATTGTGTCTGGTTGTCATGAGTGCACGAACATGAACTTGGTAATGATTGCAACCCGGCCAGCTCAGCCCTCATCTTAAGGCAAATCGAACACTTCTCGATTCCGCTACCTTTTTCAGCCCACCATCCTACACAAGTAGTCTCCCCCTTGACCAGCTGAAAAAAAGCTGCTGATCAGAATCAGGCTGAGACGTTGCAAAACCTCAATGAGCAAAAGCTGAAAGAAACATAAGGCCGAGCCCTAGGTGTCCCGAAAAGCAAAGTGCGCGGCTTCCCTTTTTGGTTACCCTTTCAACCAACTCCAAACAGGGCCTGAAATAAGGCTGCATAGTACATATGTTTGCTAGGACCTCCAGTAGAGAGCTTAGAATAAGTTGGTACCCGATGTTTTTTCTTCTGTAGGCTATTTTAGGGCCTCCCTCCCCAAGCCACGGGGTGAGAAAGGGCACCTAGCTGGGGGCCCTAGTTTGTGTATCGATCCAAAGCTCCAATTTTCCCTCTGCCCCTGGGCCTGCGGAGCTGGGCCTCGCAAGTCGATCGAATGCATGTTCCATTCTCTTGATTCGGCCAACCATTGTAGGGGGGCGATATTAGATAACCACCAATGGTCGACTTTCAGTCTCAAGTATGGTCGGCCATTGTTTTGATGATTTCATGGAGAACCTCCAGTTGGTTTGAGCCCAGAGCATTGGTTGAATTGGTTTGAACCCAGAACGTTGTTTTGATTTTAATGGGGCAGGGATCCTTACACTATACCTCAACATTGCAACTGGTAAATGGTGGTTTCCAACTCTATTTTGGTGTTGAAAAAGGGTTTCCCTTTATTTGGGTGTTGAAAAAGCCACATGCTTCAAATGGGCAAGCAACATGTATTTCTTTTAAGGAGCCCTGTCAAACTTGAAGCTTGCGAAGATCCTCCAGGCGGTCGCAAAATGGACCCGCCAAAATGGCTGTTTGCTTCGTCCCCATTCCCTTCCCCCTTAAAATGGCACCCTCAAACAAATCATGACACCAGCAGAGACCGCAGATGGCCAAACAGCGGATAATTGCACAGCAACACCTCTGACAGCACCCCCCGAAGAGCGCAGCAAACAGCACCCCTCAGAGCACACGGCTGTCAAAGTCTCCAATAATGCACCCGCACTCCTCCAACAGCTCCCAAAACAGCACCATCTCGCAAAAAAAGCGCCCGCACCGTCAACGGCACTCCCAAAACAGCACATACACCAGCAGCTCCACCCTAACAGCACCTGCACCAGCACCCTGCACGCCCCCTAGCACCCAGCCGTCAATCTTGCAAATCACTTCCCCTCCTTATTAGAAGTTAGAACCCCAATAGCTTTCAGCTATCTGGGAAACCAGGTTGTGCTCTGCCTGAACATGCATGCGGCAGTGCCAGAAAGGCTCCCATCTGCGAAGCAGAATGTGAGGTATCACTTGGAAAGCACGACCAATGTTTCTAGGAGGGCATTCCCTACCTTGAAGAACCAACCGCATCCAGGTGCCGGGACTGTGGGAAATCAGCAAAGCCTCGAAATGACGACCTCACCTTCCTCATGTCATCAAGATCTGCAAACTCTATTCCAAAACCAAACAACGACTTGGAAGCCCAGGTAGAGCTCATCCCCCCCCCCGGAAGTGCGGGCGCCATAACATCGGCTCAATGCGGACATTTCAACAAAACGGCTGCAACGAAATGGTCCAAACAAGCAACCAATACTCTTCTGGGGGCTAAACCGAACCCCCCACTGAACACTGAAAAGCTCAAAAGCTGAGGCTGGGAGTTCCCAAGTCTTGACATCTCAACTTGACTTCGGGTGTCGTAGGTGAGATCCACTCCCTCCCACGCGTTTGCGGCTTCCGCCTGCTTCAGCCGGCGTTCCGCGAGCCTTCCGGCCTGGAGAAACCCGAGAGATAATCACAAGTTCATCTCCCAAGTGTAGGTCAGGTCCATGGTGACACAGGTGCGTCAACTGAGTGGCAGCCATCTCAATCATCTCTGAAACCTGATTGCCGAGTGTGTGGCAAAAGTTTGGTTTCAGCAGGCACACTCTGCGAGACAAACGCTTGTGAGCTGAAGAATCAAGGGCACTTCATCTCCTGCTCGCAACTGCAGGTACATCAGAGCAGCTTGCCAACGGAGTGTCAGACAAAGAACGCAGCGTCCTATTCGATCGGTCTGAATGCGGATTAGAGAGAGAGAGAGAGAGACATTTGCATGGTGTTTCCGTTAGCAACAGAAACTCACGCTTCGTTCATGCCTATGAAATGCAACATCACGGAGGCCAAGAACAACACAAAAGCAAAGACGGCACCAAAGAGCTATTGGCAACAGCAATAGCTCATCAGACTCTCAATCTAGCACCAGCTTGGGGTGTTGCATTGCTAGGCGTATAGCCACACGCATGGTCCGCTCAGGAAATTCCGAGGGTTCAGCTGTCTTTGCTGTCCACCAAATGCTGAATCCGTGGACGAAGCTCTTGCAGCTGGCAGAAATGCACGCCTTGCACCCCCCGGCCACCCATGACCCGGCCTGCAACGAAGCCCTGGAGCGCGCTTTTGGCGCTCTTGCTCAGGGCTCCCAGGTCTGATCTGGGCACCGCCTGGCCGATCAAGCTGATTTGAGCGACCCACAAAAGCCATCTGCTTCACAGCTTCCAAAATCAGAGTTCCCTTCAAGGCGGCCCAATGCTTTTACCTGTAATGCCGGGTCCAAAACACTCCATGAATCAACGACTTTATTGCGCTCCTCCTTCCCAAACAGTATACGTAACAGCCTCAAGCAACTGCCCTGCCTCCCGCGAGCACATAACATGACATGACACATACCAGCTTGCCTTGGCTAATTCTAAAGTTGCACGCTGCCAGTCATCCGGGATAGTCTCCGTATCGCCAAGTTCTTGCCCCCCCCCTTGTGGAAAGAAGTAAGAAGGTATCAGTGTCGAAGCAGCAGCGGCGCTTTTGTTCGTTACCTGAGGCTTCCTCTCAACAACACACCCTCCGTTTCAACGGATGAGCTGACAAAGGAAACCAGTACCGGTTCGATCCGTGTAAGGCTAACAGCTGTGTCAAACCCAAATAGCTTCACTGGACTTGGCACATCTTCAACCTTCAACGCTCAACCACACCAAGATATGCAACATCAAAACGCCAGAGGAAGGGGAGACCTTGTTTCAACAATCATGGAAATACGCAGGAAGGTTTTGGAAAATGCCGGAAAGGCCCCCCTGTCCACTCCATGATTGGAAACAGGGTAAAATAGAACTACCATGAACCATGGTGATCTCCATAGTGTCTTTGTTTACCACCTGAGTCACAATCAACACCCGGTATCAACATATTGGTAGGGATTGTCCCTTACCCTGGGTTTTGGTTGTGACTCACTTGCCAAAAGCCAAAGGCCTTGTGTCGAAAAATCAAGAGGATACTCCTCTCTATCCATCCCGTGACCAGCCTTGTCAGGCCTTGCAGCCGGCACATGATCCTCCAACTTGCCGCTGCCCTAACGTGCGAGAAATGTTTTCCAGGTTCCCTCTCGCTCTTTCAAATACCGCTCATTTTGCTGGTGCTCAGCAGGGAATAAGGGAATGAACCCTGCAAACCCTCCCCTCTGGTTTCCTTTAAGGGAATCCCCAGGTTCATTCCCGCATTCCCTGCTGAGCAGCAAGTCATTCAAATCCCTGGAAAATACATGTTTCAACTTTCTTGCAAAACCATGTGCAAAGACTTCAAAGTTAGCTCAACGCATCAGCTCAACTGAATTTCACATCAAGTGCATCTTCCAAACAGCAAATGCTAAAAGGATCTAAAAAGCTAAGGAACCGGATGGCTGGGAGCCACCAAGAGAATTGTGTTTTTCCATGTCTTTACTCTCGATTCTTTGCTGAAGCAGCTGAATGTCAGAGACTGATCACTTCCCCATACTAATCAACGTACCGTATTGACACATGCGACAATTTCAGACCCCAATTCTCCCAGTACTCAATTAGAACTAGCGAACACTAAACCAAATTTAAGCTCGCATTTTTCTCAAAGATTAAATCAATACCCAACCAATACCAAGCCAATATCAAGGCGATGCTAAACCAATCTTGGGCAAATTCGAATCCATCACCAAACTGAAAAAATATAGAGTTCCACTGTTTAATATCCTTACTCGGAAATGGACGAGGACTGTAGGGGAAACCCCTGGTACCCTCATGTACACTATTAATACAATCTTGCTCTGCCCCCGAATAACTTGATTAGGAGGGAGGGGGCCGAATATTTGAGGGGGCAGGGAGTCATGACACAAACACTGCTACTCGCTGCCTTTTGATGAGGGCGACTGGATCGTTTGTTTTCAGGGACTCCACCCTGAGGGTTAAACAAGTCATGAAGTCAGTCATGGATCTGCAGGAGCACGGTAGAACCAACAAACATGTATAAGGTGGTCACCTTTTGATTTCCCCGCAAAACCAAGGATGTATACTATGTGTAGGCACCGCATATAGTACGCGCATTTATTTACCCAGGCAACTAGCAGCGTGTGGCTTGCCAAACTGGCAATCTGAATGCAGCAGATTGGGCCGCTCATTTCGTCTGTCTGGCTGGATTCGCTAGGCAATGCTTATAAGTTTGCCACTTGCAGTTGAAGCCCAAACCTGCTTCAGTCTTGTTGCCACCGTGTTTCAATCAAGCAGAGGTGTTTAGCGCTGAAACTGGGGTCTTTGCCCAGGGCTCCGGAGAGGTTCGAAGAGGGGCTAGGGTTTCGGAGGGTGGAAGGGTGATGCTGATCTGGGATTGTTGGGGTTGCTTACGTTGCTGAGTTGTCAATCCCCCATCAGCGACAGCGTTTCACGTGTCATGGCATGCTGATCAATGGTACTGCCGTTGACTGCTTCATACCATTCCAAATGTTTGTTGTGGCGCTTACACCTGCTGAGGCGCAGTTGTTCAATCGTTTCTGACGCTGAAACCTTCGCTTCCGTGGCATGCCCAAGAACCAATCTCTGCCTCGGAGCGCCACTGGACAGGAATCAAGTGGAGATTCTCCAAGGATGCAGAGAGCGTCTGCTGGGCCTGAGCTTCACTGAAGCATCGTTCGGGGAACCATACACATCGGGTACAAAAAAACAAAACGGGGAAACACGGGCCCCTGAAGTAGTGGGAAGAAGTGTGCGGCGCCCGGAAGGTGGCTTGAAAAAAGGACATCTGCGTTGGGATCTCCTTCGGAGGAATGCCCGCAGCGCATTTGTGCCATTGAATCGGAAAGGCCCCATGGCTTCACGCAGTCTCTCTGTGGCGCCGGCTAAATACTTGGAGTCTGGGTGGAAATTCACAGGTTCCAACCTCAGGACCGCGGCAGTCTAATTCAAGACACAGTGTAGCCGGTACATATATGTCAAGCTGGAAAACCACAAGTATAGCTATTACTATAATCTATATTTATCTTCCTCTTTTTTTTGTAGTTCTCGCTCTCTCTACCTCTTTCTCTGTGTTTCACTATCTTCTCTGTCTCCTTCTCTTCTTTGATCTTGCCATCTATCCATCCATCCATCAATCTGTCTGTTTTTCTACCTACCTATCTATCTAGTCACCTAGTCTGTCTGTCTTGACCTTGCAAAAGCGCGGCCGCGTGCGCCTGCCACGAATTCTGCACCTGAGCTCGCTCCAATCGCGCTCCGAGATCGCCCCAGGCATGGCGATCAGGCTAACTGCCGAGCATCCGAAGAAATCGTAGCCTGCAGAGGGCGACGCTTTTCAGACATTTCTATTCCCCCGCCACGCACACGCATTTTCAGTGCGTGCTCATGCTTCAGCTATTATGTCGTTGCCGAACCGCGGAAGTTCCTTCTACATACACGTCCTTGATTTACATCAAGGACTGTTTATAACCCAAGGGCGCATGCTGCGCAACCGAGGCCAAGCCTCAGCGAGCTGAGGCGAGCGCGCCATCAGGGAGGAAACGAAGGCCAGGTGCAACTCCTTCGATTCCGCGCACACAATCCACAAAATGCCACCAGTTGGTGGTTAATCCCACTATTCGTAGGTCTTCATCCATGCCTGGCGCCAGTCGGTCTAGCACATTCACCTGGTATCCATGCCAGGCAAAGGACTTTGTCCATTCATTTCAAGCAAGCTGACCATTACACGGTTGTTCTTGTTCCCCGCTTGGAATGTTTTGGGAATGAACCGGAAACATGGAACCTGCGGGAGATGCCCAAAACCCCAATATTGTGAGGGCCGAATAGTAATTGCGCCGTAAAGATGACGTCTGCTTTTTCGGGGCACCGTCTTTGTCATCAACACAAAGAACCCATGTGTTTTTGTGCATAGTACTCTGTTCAGCTGAAAAAACGGCCAAGAGAAAACTAGCTTAGGACCACGCCTGTTTTGACGCATCCCCAAATTTGCAAAGATAGGAATCTGGGTACTCAGCAGCTGTTGGCCTGTTTTTTTGTGTGAGGGCCTTGCACAGCTCAGCCCTAAACCTGCTGCAGCTGAGACCAGGCGTGTCCATCTTTAGCTCCGACCATCTCTAGTGAGCACTGCTGCTGGCGCGGTAGGGAAGGAGAAATGGAATGAACCTAGGCTTTGGTTACCTTATTGGATGGTTTCTACGGGTCATTTATTTTAATTGTCTGAGCACCAACACGTAAATGTCAACATAACAGCAGCTCCCCAATACTACATGGAATTAACATCAGTGCTTCCAAAGTTAGAGCAGTATCTATAAGGGTACCAATTCTAAACCAATACTAAACAAGTTCCATACCAGAACTAAACAGTACTAAGCAATACTGAATACTTGACCATTACTCAACCGGGACACACCCGTACTACGCAGTACTAAATATACCAATACAAAGCCACCACTATCCAGGAAAGACTGAAGAAAACCGAAGACTGTTGGGGAGTGGGGGCAGGACTGCTTCGAACAAAGGCAGCACCTTAAGGCCAACTGCCCTTGTAGAGACACAAGGTCACAGTTGCTGCGGTCAGCAATTTTGGCATGGGGCATGGTTCTCTGAGTCTGAGTCCCTTGATGGGGCATTCTGAAATCCTTGCAATACTGTGGAGGGACGAAATCCATTTCGCACCACTTTGAACCATGGGAAACCATTGTTTGTTGGTATTTACAAAGGGAATCATCATTCCAGGGTTTCTTAGGTGGTGCAGGATTTCGTCCATCCACAGTAGGGCCACAAACCACATCTTAGGGATCCTTACATTATACACCTGAACATTGCAACTTGTAAATGGCGGTTTCCCTTTATTTGGGTGGAAAAAGCCACATGTT